GATGAATAGAGCTATTAGTAATGTAACTGGTATCAGAGCACATGCAGAAGTGTAAATTCCCAAGCACTGTATGTGTAAATACATAAATATTCACATATTACCTGCCTCTACTTCTATACTGTGTAAGAACCCCACGTCTTCCTTGTGTCATTAATACTGGAGATCTGAATCTCTTTGCCATATAACAGCATTTTAACACTGATGCTGGAACAAAACTACTATTCAGAGTATGTACTTGAATTTTCAAAGGAATGAATGGGAGTAATATTAATTTCTAATGTAAGGATCAGCAGTTGTGCCCACAGACAGATGTACTGCTACTTCTCTGATATGCCTTATCTTCTCTGGGTTTAAAATGTATGCAAGGCTGTGTCCAGAGCAAATTTTGCTGCTGCCTGACTGCAAAGCTAGTTTGATTTTAGGAGCTGTGTGAAACGTACGCGTGGCACTGAAAGCTCCTAATGATGTGGTGGTCGTATTTAAGTAGGCCCTGAATGTTTAAAAAGAGGAATATTAAAGTCTTCTAAACTTTCTTTTTCCTTGTTATCAGAACTCCATCAGCGCTGTAGACGTTATAGCCAAAGGCTAGTGATGAGTCCAGGGACTGATGGGTTGGGGAATCGAGTGGTTTACTGGGTGGGATGAGGACCTATGAAGGCCAGCAAGGAAGTCGTCAGCTAAGCAAAGGATTGTTTTTAAGTAAATCTTTGGTCTGTATCTGGCAGGGTGAAGATTTAAACCCAGGTTTTCAACAAGCTGTATAAATGTCAGTAACACTTCCTTTGCTTTCTGACCTTGCCTCTATTCCCTTTCTGTCTTGGAGCTGAAAAACTTCTTCTCATTACAGCTACTTTAAAACTGGAAAGTTTCTTTTCACAAATTGCTCACGTTAACTCCAACACTTCCTAGATTTGTTCTGTTGGACTTGGCAGTCTTAATACTTTTCTAGCATAGTTTTGTGGGGGCGAGGTGCTGTAACTTGAGTGAAAGAAAATGAGATGTATAATTTAAATATTTCTTTTTCACCTAGGTATCCATAAAGAAAATTTTGTCAATATCTATTGCATAGACTTGTAGATTTTACAGCCAGAAAGAATCTATATAATCATCCAGTTCCATCTTGGATGTAAGAGAGGCTACAAAAATTTGCTCGGTTGCTATCAGATCAGTTGCAGTCCACTTGAGCTACTGTGGGAAAGAAACCCATTCTTAGTCATGCTATGAAAGACTCTGTCATAATATTCACAGAACAGAGGACAAAGTGAAGGTCAGGTCTGAATTTTCTCACTGGGGGAATTAGAATCTTTGATGTTGCATAATCACAAATTTATATACCTTCACACTCTATATTGTACAAGTGATTCATTAAGCTAAAATAGATGTTTCATGTCACTCGAGTATCCTCCTTTTGAATTTCAGAAATGCAAATGTATTCACAAACCTAAACCGGAGATCTCATTTAGGATGTAAGTGTGCCTGTAGCAGCATCTGTACTACAAGAAGAAAGTGTTATTTGTAAAAGAGTTATAGGCTTGTAAACTACAGAGATATTTGCAGATACTAGATTTGTTCAGCTACATTAGCAGCTGTTTTGAGCTGTTGGGATCAATGGGTTTGTATGCAATAAAAATTCTATTTCCAGTTAATATAAAATGAATCTTATAGGTAGATCATTTATCTTAAGCATTCAAATAACTTTTTAATTAAATAATAAAATACAAAGATTAGCACTTAGGGAACTTCTTTTTGTGAAGCAGTCACCTACCCTACAAACTATTTTTCTTTAATATTAGCTTTGGCTTTCCCCAGACAATGCTCAGCTCCTTAGAACAGCAGTGCACAGAACACACTCCAATTAGTGGCCAGCTGTGCAGCTGCATAATTATTATTGTAAATCATTACCATTTGTGGTTCTATATCTCCACTGCATCCTCACTCAGTGGTCATAGACTATTTAGTCATGTGTAATACAGAGATCCTACTATAGTTTTGATTGTTTGTTCCCTTTCTCTTTACTTGTTTTATTGTTATTATATTATTTTTTGTCAAGGGAGCATGCGGGACTGCATACTAATCAAGATATAATATCATCATAGATTTATTCAGCAACACGATGATGTTTTGTTCTCCAACCTTTTCCGAAAAACTACTAATTGATTTTTCAATTGTGATCACTATCAGCCACTGAATTGACATTTTCGAAGAACTGTTGTGCCTCTTAAGGTGTCATTACTGAAGGGTAACACTCAGTTCTGAGTCTATTATCTATTATTGTGTACGTAAAATTAGTGGTGTTTTTTTTCTCACCCTGTGGTCTGCTAAAATCAATTTACATTGAATCTCATCAGTTACTTTTTTGCTCAAGAAGTTGCATCAGAAGTTGCTTCTGCAATTCATCAGTCAGCTCTTGCTTTTACTATCTTGAATAATTCAGCATAATCAGCAGATTTCATTAGCTCAATATTTATGCCTTTTGACCAGATAATTTATGAACATATCGAACAGAACAGACCCTAGTGCAGTAACAGATACTTTTGTCCTTTTGCTTGCCATCTCTACCTACTCTTTACCTGTCCTTTACCTACCTCTGTATGAAGAACTCCTCTCTCACACTAAAGCACCTTAATTTCTGCAAGAGTCTTTGCTTCAAGACTCTGCTGAGGTCCTTTTGTGGATCCAAGTGCAGCACATCAGCTGGAGCTCCCTGGTGTATGTGCCTATTGACTCCTTCAGAGGTTTCCAGCAAAACTGAAACTTGTTTCTGCAAAAGCCATGTCAGCTTTTTCCTAGTATAATCCTTCCTTGTTGTTGTAGTCTCTGTTTTATTCTTTGGAATAGTTGCTCCCATTCTTGAACTTCAGGTTTGCTTCTATGTATTTTCTTGGATCTATCTGTAACCCTTGAAAAAATATCTGGTGTCATGTTTGCCACCATACAGTACAGTGGTATGGACGTTTGTTCAACGATACTTTCTGTGGCTGAAACAGATTTTATCAGCTAAAGTACATCAGATCAGTTTTCATTAAATCATAATGGTCTGTGCATACATTTGGAGAACAGAGGTACAGTGTAAAAGTCTGTAAGATTAATAGTAATTGGGAAGTTAAAATGCAACAATTATGCTTTTCTTTGCTGTTGACCACTGTGTGTAGAAACAGATGTGCTTCCAAACCTCTTCAAACAGATTTTTCTTTTTTATAGATAACCATTTGTCCAATATTGTACAAAATAAATACAATACTTTAATATTTTAAATGACATACATATAAAAGATGAAGATTTAAAAGATCTCTTTTACATGGAAGAGCCTGCCTGCTTTGGATGTAGGATCCTGGATGTCTCCAGAGCCAACACAAGAGCCTTTTTCCCAACTAATATTTTTGTTACAGGACTGTCTATCAGCTTTGATGCCAAACATAAACTAGTTCAAATGCATATGCCTACATGATCTCTTATAGATGGACACATGAGTTTTTAACAAAGATTTTAGCAATAGGTTTTCAATGACAGACCTAAATTCACTCCATTCCAGCTTCATGTAATATCAATCCAGTTAACACAGCACTGAAACCAGAGCTGGGCAAGTAAGTCCCAGCACAGCTTTATCATAGTGCAGCTACTTGGCTTCAGGATGTCTAGGAATGTGGACAGAGTCATTCCACACCTACCTTCAAAAAAACCTGAACACAGACATACACAAACCAAGAGTGAAGTGCTTCAAGGTACGCTAAAGAAGCTAAATGTACTCATAATCAGAGTAAGCTGCCCATAGATACGTTACAGATTCTGGTATTTAATGCAGGAAATTCTGCTGTCAGTCCAGCAGCTCAATAGGAGGTTCCTTCTTCCTCTCCCTCTCTCAGCTGCCGTGTGGCTGTACCTCTTTGTTTAGTCCTTTAGCAGAAGGCAAAATCAGGTGTTGCTCAGTAGTCCTCTTCATTCTCTTCCCTCATCTGGAGCTCTTGTATTTTGAACATGCATGGTAGTTTAAATCCTAAAATGCTTAAAGCAGCTCTGGGTATTCTAAAGACAAGTGTGCAGTGGCCAAATGTCAAGAACAAACAAGAGTCATGGGATCGGAATGGCTGTCTGAGGCTAATGAATAGATATCCAGCTGTGTCTGACCTTCAGTTGGAAAACAGTTGAACACCAATGGCTGGAAGCTGAGACAGATGGCAGTGCAGGATTGGTTAGGAGCAGAGGCACAATTCAGATATTAGTCAGTAATGATGCATTTTATATCTTATTCTACAGTAAATGAGTAATCTGCTTAATATACATCCTTGGAAGAAGTGACTGCTGCCATTCTGGCTGCTGCTAGGGTGCAAGAGATTAAAATATGGAAAATAAAATAAAATAATTGACTATTGCACAGAATTTTAGATCTAAATTCATATGTGCAAACAAACCAAAACGAAATGTATCATCTTTTCCTTTCAGGCAGTGCTAAAAATGCTACTCAAGGACCTGTGAAACAGATCAGTGCTTTCTGCTTGATTTCAATTTCTGCAGTTATTTTTCTATCAGTCTGGCAAATCAGACAATACTGCATAATCCTCCCTTATGAGCATCTATAGAAATGTGAAAATAACTAGCCTTAGACCAGCAAGGAAAATGTGTGGAGAATTAGAAAGAACCAGAGCAGGTCTGAAGAGCGCTAGGCAAAAAAAAAAACAAAACCAACAGAAAACAGAAAAAAAGGAAAAAGAGTAGGAGGGTGAAAGTGTTAGCAACACCACAAGACTTGCATCAGTTAGAGGGGGAGAGAGAGAGAGTCTGTCATAACCTGAGTATCTGAATGTTGGATCAAGTGATAGACTCAATCTAGACTCAAAAGTATAAAATGGCAAAGCAAAGTTAACAAGTTGTAAATTAGAACTCAATGAAAAAAATCTTCAAATATTCACTTTAAATTTGGGGTACATTAATTATGATCATTCTCAAGTCCCATCTTGCATTTTCTTTCCCTTACTATTTCAAGTTAATTTTATTACCAAGAAAAACATTTTGAAAGGAAGGTTTCCAACTATGCAAGTTTCAAATTCATAGAAAGAGATATTTTAAAAATGCATTTAACTAAAGTATTTCCATCAGAAACTCAGCTATGAGAATTATAAACAAAGTGATAGACCCTGATGTTTGATTATCTGAACCAGTTCAGCCTGAACATTATGATCTGTATTTTGAATAGAAAGACAGAAGGTACACAATATGAAGTTTGTGTATGTCTGGAGACTCTGTAGATCCTGAAACATGTAGCTTTCTTTAATTAACAGTTACAAATTAGACACTTAGCTATACCGTGTACTGTGCCACCAGGATGTACACAAAGGAAGGGTATTCATGATGAAAAGTGAGTCCACTGAATAGAGCTGCAAGAACTTGAGGTGTCCAAAAATGATCCTTCTCACCTGAGAGGGTGTTTAGTTAGATGGTCATCTGATGAGTTTTCCTTCTGGCAACGTTCATAACCTGTCTCCCCTTTCTCTGCAGACTCTCTAATACATTCTCCACCTTTCTTAGCTTGAGAACTTCTACATCATCTGTCTCTCCTCTTCCACCACATGTGTGGTAGGAATTTGATGCCTTAAGCTTGTCCCAAGAAGGTGCAGAATTAAGATTGATGCAAGTGCCCCTTCCCTGCCCCTTTCAAGCAGCAGCCTGCAGCCAGCATCAGGCTGGTGAGAGCTCACTTGCCTTGAGTATTAAATTAAGGATAGATGTACATTAAAAAAAAAGTTTGTGTTTAATTATTAATCAAGTAGATTAACTGCCCATAAATTTATTACAGGAAATTCTTCAGTCTTCTCCTTCATCTTTAGTTTTGCCAGCTGTTGACTGCGAGGCTACCAGGCATCTTCTGAGCTTTCTTCAGGAGTCAGGACAGTGGAAGTTAACAAACGTAACTGATCTTGATGTCTCTCAGCTGGAAGTGAATACATCTACACCAAACTTACTGGTGGTTCAGCTACAACCTCTTGTCAGGTAGGAGCTTGTCACAAACAAAACGGCCCCACATGTATGCGCAGTTTTTTAAGCTTTTAAAAATGTCACTTGTGTTCAGGAAATTTAAAAACCAATGTGGAAGTTTACAGGGTTAGCGAAGTTATTTTTCTTGCAAGGATGAATTCAGTGTTTTTTAAAGTCCCCTGATGAGCTTACCAGGTGTAATAGATGAATTATGTTGAGAAAGTCAGTCAGGCGTTCCTGTTTTGTCTGCCTCATTATATGAGAACAAAGGGACAACTAATAAAACTAAATAGCAACACATTTTTAACAGAAAAGCTGAATTATTTTATGAAACACATTATCAACCTTCAGAATTAATTGCTAGAAGGCATTCCAAGGGTCAAAAACTTAGCAGGATAAACAAGCCCACCAATAAACATACAAACACACTTGAAGATAATATGAATAAAGAGACTGGTTTTCACCACTATAGACAGAAGAGGAGGGCTATAATTCTTCATGTTTCCACACCAGTAACAACTGTGATCTAACAGAGGTAGGGAGAGACTGTTCCTTCAGGTAAATGTTGGTGTCTGACTGTTACTTGTAGGGCTTTTACATCTCTGTGGACTACCTGGCACAGAGCACTCCTGGCCACTGTGTATGGGTCACTGACCTGATCTAGATTGGCAGAATGCTGTGTACACAGTCATACTGAGGACAAGTGATGTCAGTGTACGTTTAGGGAATACAAGGCTACCTCTACTCAGCTTCTGCTCTTTCCTTTTCCTAGCCTGTTACTCGGGCATTCGTATATGTTGGTATACGGTGCAGCTGTCAATGGGTCCTAAGGAAGTGCAATTATAGGTATCACATAACTACACAAAGACATGATACCCATTTTAAGGAGCTCCTGTACAAAGGGAAAACACCCAGTGAAAAAAAAGGTGAGGACATAAAGGTCAAAATTACATCAGTGGTCTGGCTGCTCTGCAGCTAAGGAAGTCTGAGGGCTTTGAGGAATCACCTGAAGATGTGGTCCTCACGGTATGTGGCTTTGCAGAAGAAAGGGGTCATAACGAGGAGATGAGAGAACGATGGAGCGACTGATGACAAAAGTAATCCTTTACTAATCAGGATCTTTGTACATTTTTGGTTCATTTTGTTCTTGTCTAGAAAAGATTTTTAATTATTTTTCTCCCACTCTTTTCATAGTGGTTTAAATGAGATTTCTGCCCTGGAAGCAATTGCTGAAAACGGTAAGCAATATGACCAAGATATAACTAACATTTCATCATTTAAGTCTGTGCATTCACTTGAGCAGACTGTATTCTCTAGTTCCTGGGTTTTGCTGTAGTCTTTCTATTTAAAGGTTTTCTATTTCCCCCTCTGTAGTACTTATAAGCAGTCAGTTATCACAGTGTTTAAGTACTGAGTGATTCAAAGTCAACCAAAATGGATACAGCTCTGTGACCCAAAATGTAATGATAATTCACCTCTACTTCAAGCATGGGCCTTTGCTCATGCTGAGATCCTCCCAGTTCAGAGAATGGACCTGCATCTCCATGCAACTCAGACTGCCCCCTTGGGTCACACCTCACACACTGGCAGTTGGAGGTGCCAAGCTCATCCAGCAGTTTGAAGGTCTTGGTCTCAACTAGAGGATGTCTGAACAAATAGGAAATTTTTTTTTAATCTTTATAAATCAATTCTGGTGCCCTTCACAGCCTTGGATTTTAGAGTCTTTTATTGGTTTTGCACCACTTTCATTGGTGGTGAAGACTGCTTGTTAAAGTTGAATCTCATTGTACAACATTGAAATAAAACTTTATCAAAATAAAACTTTTCTTGCTTCAGATCTGGCTGAAAAAGAGGTGCTGTACAGCAAAGAGACACTGGGAAGCATCTGTATTTTTGCAAGGCTTTCACTTACTACTCTAAATTGGAGATGATGTTATAAAGTCTGCAAATCACTGTAGTGGTCGTTTCAGGGACACACACTGTAGAGTAGTGGGGTCTAATGGTTAAACAGTGTCCTTAGAGTCTATGACTGCTTCTGCCCAGAGCTGGAAGTGTAAAATCAGAAGCAGATTTAAAAATTAGGGGAAAATACCTTAGTACTGAAGTACCAGTGTGTTCTTGTCTCTGTGTTTTTGCACTACCCCAAAATGAGTTTGGTTTTTATACTCAAAAAGTAGCTGTATTTCCATCTCTGAATTGCAGAGGAGTTGTTAGTTCTCCCTTCTTCTCCCCACAACTTACTGGATAGGTAAAGCCTTGGCTCAATGTTGCCCTTGGCTAAACATTAGCTTTTTCTTTATGGGACATTTCTTTCATTAGCTGCACAAGCTCAAGAATAGTCTTCCCAAAACCTGTCTCAGGCCACTTTTTTTTTTGAAAAGCAAAGTTAACAGGGAACCTGTGGGATGATGGAGGAATTTGGTATACCAACTTTCCAGCTGTTATCAGGAAAAAGGAGTGTGGATCCTGTGCCACTTTGTATGGTCAAGTGCCAGATCTGCAGTTTGTCCTCTGCATCTCAGCTGTGCTCTAGAGAAGTGGGAGCGTGGGCTGGATCTTCCCTCACCTGGTTTATTTGCCAAAGCACCCACTCAGTGTGTTGGTAACATCATCAGGAAGAAGTTTTAATTCAAATGAAAGTTACTGAGCCACCATTCCTTAAAATTATCCCATGGAAGGTCTGTGCAGCAGACGGGAGAGAGTAGGAAGAGCCATTCCAAAGGTAGTACGTAAGTGTCCCAAACACAGTCTTCCAACTCCTGTGATCTGGGGTCCAGCAGATCTTGGTGTTTAGGTACTGTTTGCAGCACAACCACAGACCTTTGCTGTCAGGACACCCTTCAAGGTCAGAACTGCTTGCAAGGTCATGAGTTATTGGTGTTTGTTACAGAATGGCTGCTGCCAGATCCTACCTGTGTAAGCAACAAAAAGTACTATTTGTCACATACCTGCAATGTGACAAGAAAATTTGTAACCCACAAATATTGCTTTTAATTTTTCTTTCAGTATCAACAGTAAACCCATAGAAAAACACTGCAGACGTGTAGTAGGCTGCCTAGAAGTTCACAAAGCCTCTTATGTTTGTCACAGCAACTTCTTTCCTCTCCGCTGTAGAGGGTTTTAAAATCTGATGTAATAAAATGTCAGAGAAATCTCTCCTGCTGTTTTACTCACTGCAGACAGGAAGCTCTGTAAGACAGAACAAATGGGCTCAGATTCTGCCCAAGGGAAATGTGCTGTTCTGAAATATCTAGAAGCTGGAGTAAGCAGAGGTTTTTTAGCATGTTATTGAAATGAGGGTCATTACAGAATCCAAACTGGAATTCAGAATCCAAATCTGCTCAAGTTTCAAGGGCTTCAAACTTACTGTTTTCTTTATGCGTCTTTTCAGTATTTCTTCTTTCTTTTTTTTTTTTGCATGAGGTAGAGAATGACATTATTACTCAGTTTTTGCCAGTTTTTTTCTAAACGTCTCTCTGCTCAGAAGAAGGTTGCATTCTGTCATGTCACTTAACTACTGGATCCAGCACACCTCAAAATCAATGGCTCCATCTGCATAAGATGAGACCTTTTAATTGCATGTATTCCTTTTTCCAGTCTTATTCTCAGTGGATTTGTCTTTCTGCTTTCTCTTCCCTTCTATTTTTCCCTTCTGATCTTGCTCTTTTCTATTCTTTCGTCCTTGCTCATAGTTTATACTCCTCCTTTCTTTTCACTTTCCACCTTCCAGAACATCTCTTTTCAGTTCATTTCTTCCATTCCTTTCCTCCCTGTGTAAAATCACACAAAGAAATTAAGGCAGATTAGAAGTTAGTAATAGCGCTAATCCTGCACTCCCTGGTGAAGTTCAAAGGATGTTCAATGAGTTAGAAAGGTTTAATCCTTCCACCAGGGCATAGATGCAGGCAGTTATGCTAATAGGAAGGTGTCATCCTAGGCGAACTGTTTTACATTCATAGCTCTACATAGTGTTTACTTGATCCATGCTGGCTAAAATAATAAAAGAACCCACTTCAGTAGAACCACTCTGAAATCACTCTAACATCAATGTCACCGTCTGGAGATGCCTCTTTCCATTAAAGAAAGAGCATGGGATGAGTAATGTTCCCTTGTAGGCATGTAATTTACAGAATCACAGAATCACAGAACG